ACAGAGGCGATGGTGATAGCGTGGTGACCGAGGCCAGTGGAAAGTAAACCGATACTGAGAAGTATGACTTGTATGGCCGCCTAAACGGGAAATGCGAAGAGGAACGCCCCGCCCACTCAAAAGATAGACCTGACGCTAAATGTAAGGAAGGGTAAATATTGCCGTGTTTTAATCCTAACACTACTTCCAACATAAAACTAAACTTTTATCTTTATGCTTAACCTGGACCTATCCTAAACCTAAACTTCACTGTTAACCCCTAACATAATCTTGATCCTAATCACAACTCTGACATTAAACCGAAACTGAACCGTACCCCTCAGCCTGATCTTAAATCTTAATTTCCCGGGGTTTTGGCGCCAAACCATGTACATTATCGGCAATTCCTGTTCCCGTGTCCTGTTAAGGTGGCCATACAAGCCACCCTTACCCTGAGAAGGTAAAAGCTCTTGTAAGTTACCAAAGTAGCGGTGCGTTGTGTAACCAAACAATATTTAAACAAGGTTCGGCTCCTTCTTGGTCTGCTCCACGGAGGCCGTAACTGCCAACAGTATTTTAAGTAGTGCACCTCATATACCCCTAGACCCAGCATTTGGCCTATGAAAACGGTGGTTATAGGGGTTTTATGGGTGAGGAATAAGGATAGGCAGTGGAATATACTTTGATAACTGCTATATACATTTGCATTTTATTATATTTAGAAATGTTGTTAATTCATATCTGTGGATTTTCCTAATCTGTATGATCGTTCAACGTATTGCGGAAAATCCGATTATTAAAATGCAGGTTTATTGAAATTCTTAAAAAATCAAATGATGGTTAGGAGGTCGTCTACTTCAACTTAAGTGAGGTCGAACTTACAGTTCTGGAGTTAAATTAGTATAGTCCGCGGCGCGAAGCGCCGCGCACACCTTAAAATTAATCGCGCAACAACTTGCTCCCAGTGGCCACTGGAAGCAAATCCAACTACACTTTTCCACTTACTTCCGCGAATTTCCATCACTCACTATCCTATTTCCCAATCCCCAAAACATCTGCGACGACCGTTTCCGTAGGACGAAATTCTAGGAGTAGAGTTATGTGAGGTGCACTACTTAAACTACTTTTTTCCTTAACTTACTCCTTATACGCATCATTAATGTCTGCATGATCCGGTGCTTTAACAGGAAAGCGATTGGCAGCGCAACCTACATCGTACCAAAACACGGAAAGAATGATTAACCCGTAGTATTTAGTTGGTTTCTGTCAACAGAAGCTCTGCTAACAAAAAAGCTAGTTTGCTTATGTGGACGTGAGACAAACCAAGAGGTACTGCGCAAACACGCGGATGGACATGATTTTGGTGTAAGATTTTCAGACGAAGTAATTATGCATATCCGATTCCTGCCTGTTGAGTAGCCCTCATGATTTGGACGGATAAACCTTCACTGGGCCGCTACCAAACTCACTCTCTCCACTCTGTCTTGGTGCTCACTCTTGAGCTCCGAAGGAAACCAGCTAGTATTATAGACAGATGAACAAATGATGACAAAGACAAGGGCGGCTACACTGGCAATTTCTGGCTTTTTAGCCGTCATCAGCCGGGCATACCCAAATCCAGGTGCTGTGCACCATCCGATGCCCACACACGCGACTTGGTGGTTAAAAGTCAGACGTTCTTACCATTGGGCCAAGGGCTCGCTGTCTTGCCGGTTTAGATTGAGAGTGAACCCCAAAGCAGTGTGGGAAGAGTGAGTTCTGTAAGCGATGGGTGAGCGTCCATCAACGAATATCAATGCTCCCTATCTAAACTGCCAAGAAAACGAGCCTGTGAGCCAATGATTAGAGCATTGCAGTTTTAATCAACAAGTCGGTGGTTGGAGCCTTAGGTGGTGGTTGGCTGGCTAGTAGTCCTTTTTGGATCAGGAGCCCCGCCGGGTTGGCGAGGAGGAGAAGTCGGAGCAGCGTGGTTGGGAGGGGCTCCTT